CCCCCCCCCCCCCCCAATATTCCAGTGTGTTCTGTTGTTTTCTATATTCGGCAACATATCTTTCACCTGATAGGTCATTCAGACATATGACAATTCAATTTGATCTATCTTGTTATAAGACTCTAGCAAGTAACCTAGTAGAAGATGGCAGGAGTTGTGTGAACCTGACAAATGGTTGAGCAAGCATTTTTTTTTTTTTTTCTTTTTTTTTTTTTTTTTCCCCCCTTGGCTAGAACTGATAAGTAAGGGAAACATTCAGGCCATCCTGTAGAGAAAGCATACTGATAGAGGAGAGTCCTTTTTCTACCTTTGAAGCACCTCTTAAAGGTTTTCACAGAGTAAGGAGGGTCATACTGCACTTAGGCTGTTTTCATGAGCAGTCCAAAATAACAGTTTAGAAGTAAAAGTGTGCAAAGAACTTGAAAAGATTTCTCAGTGTACTCGCATTTTTAATAATGAAAGAAAAGAGGAAAAGAGAAGTTATGCTTAGTGGGTCTTTTTTCTAAACTGTTTTTGTACCTCTTTCTATGTCTGTGTACGTTTTTCTGTTTAATTAAAGGTGTGAAAATATCAATTGCTATAGAGATCTTTTTAAATGAAAGTGATTTTTAATTCTAATTAAAGAAAAAAAGCAGTAAATACTTTTTAAAACAATTTATGGAAATGAAATTTATAAGAAGGTTGGATATTAAATCTTCTTAGTGTTAACTAATAGTAAGAAGGGCACGCTACTTTTACGTTCATGTGAGCAGATACATAATGATCAGATTCTGCATACTGCTGTTCATTTAGGGCATATTGATTTAGAATTCCCATTTTTCATGTCCCTCTTTGATAATTTTTTAGATGCAAAAACCTGCAATGAAGTTGACCTGGAAAACTCTGTAGATTGGGAAGTGAAGACAATTACTAGTGCTATGAAGCAATATCTGCGGTAAGCTCGTGTCTCATTTGTTTATTATTTAGACTATGAATTCTGTTTCCTAATTCTCCTATACAGTGTCTTAAGCTACATTACTTACTTTTCCTATATTTTGGAATAGAGGTTTATTTCGTGCAAATACTGTGTTTGTTACTTGTCTTGGAACGGCAAAATAATTTAGCCACGCAAATACTCATAAGAGACAAGCCCCCAAACATTTTTGGATTAGACATGTAAGCATTTCACTGATGGTTCAGAAACCTGAATTGTCAGTAAACTTGCTGAGAGTCATTACTGGAAGTCAGCTAAGATTGTTAAAAGAGTTTTTTGCTTTTTTGTATTTAATGTGTTAAAGTGAAAAGGGAAAAGGTGATGAAATTTTTAATATTTTCTGCTATTCTTTCTGACCCTTGCTTTGATGTTCTAGGTGCAATAGAAATAACATTTTGAGCGTTGAAAGTAAGAACTTTAGATGTGTTCTCTGTTCAACTGGCTTGGCCAATTCCTGATCAAGATATTTTACTAAATTGCCTAAGAACATAGAAATTTTGTATTTATTAAATAAATTATTACCGCAACCACTATCGAAGAATGCTGAACCAAGATAAAAGTCTCTCGTATGGAGTGTAGGAAAGTAGTAAAATTTAAAAAGTAGGAAAGAAATAGGTACATTATGAAGTATTTCCCACCTAAAATATTTCCTATCTGAGTGTTTATTCCCAATATTTCAGAAGCTTCAGTGAAGTCAACTTCAAAAAATGAAGGTTTTAACTTTGATGTTTTAACTCTGATTTCTATTATTCAGTAAATTTTTCATTAAAGACTAAGGTTTTCAATTTCAATTTTTGTATTTGAAATGCTTTAGACTTTTGACTTGTGGATGGCTGCTGTTCAGCAAACAACTATTTTAGGACCTTTATTTTTTCCAGTAAGGCACTGACTTGTAATTCTTTGTATTTAAAAACACTAATGAAGAATTATTTACATAGTATACGGGTACAATCTTCATCCGAGAAACAGTGTCGGTGTTGTAATTTGTAAAGCTGCCTTGTGATAGACTGGAGGCATCACTTAGGCTCATGAAAGGTGAACAGATATATTTAGTCTTATTTTTCTGATAACATAAGTTCTTTTATTTGTGTGGAAAAGTCATTGAACTCAAGGGCCACAGTATCAATGGTTGCCTCCAGTGCAAGGATTATACTTTAAATGTTAGTTTCCTGCTTAGAGTATATACAGATAGAAAATAATATAGCTAAATTTATATCATCCTTGTTTTACAGAAGCCTTCCAGAGCCCCTGATGACATACGAGTTGCATGGAGAATTCATCGTTCCTGCCAGTAAATATGACTGCTGTTTAAATAGAAATATTTTCTTATAGCACAGTTGTGGCCTTAGAAACATGCTGCAAATGCAATTTCAGAAAAATTCTTCAACCAGTAAAAATATAGGAATAAGAAATAATAAATGTTTTAAAAACACGTAGGTTTTAACCAGTGTTCAGTTCTAGTATGTGTCACATATGACGTATCTATTGACAGACAAGCTTACGACAGACTTGGCACAGCACAGTTTCTATTTTTATGGAAAAAAATTTTGTATAGACATTGTAAACATTTATTCTTATTATCTTAATTATATAGTGATAAACATCTACTTAGATTGTGATTTTTTTTTTCCTTCAATTTATAAAGAGTATGAAGCTTAGTAAAAGAAAATGCACTAATTCGGGCTCATTTGAATCCTTAAAGCCCAGCTGCCTGACCCTTGTTTTCAGTGCCTTGTTAGCTCTGTATCCAGGCTGGCTTGAATGTTCCTGTCATATTAGTAGAAGAAAGGAAAGATCAGGCCAGATTACACTATGGCAGTTCAAATACAGACTTGGAGAAGACACAACACCATTTGTAGTTCAGCTGTATGGTATCTAATGTACATGGAATTTTTTGGAAGAGGATGGAGGGAAACTGTGTAAGAAAATTTTTGGCAAAGTATCAGATATTTAGCTGATTTTCTTTCCAGCCTGTAGCACTTCTGGCAAACTGTGGAAAGCAAAATTAAAATAAACTTTGAGACAATTGCTTTATCTTCTTTGAATTGCTGTAATGACTTTCCAGGACTGCAGAATGTGTTCATTTGTGGTCCTTATTTCAAAATGAGAATTAGCCCATGAAATTCACTGCCAAAGCTCATCTTAGAGGCCAAGTGCTTAAGCAAAATTCAGCATACTTGCCTAGATGGTGAGTCTGCCCATTTGTCTTGGAAAGTGTTAAAATAATTTCTTGACCTATGAAGTTTTGCCAGCAGTTTCTCACTTTGTTTTCTTTTCTCTATTTTATAGTCCCTTTCAATAAAGGAATTCAGTTGAAGTTGATGCTTGAAATAGTACAGTGTTCATGAGTAGTAAACAATTTTCTAGAGGGGTCGATTCTATGTAATAGGGAAATTTAATCAACGTTGCAGATCTGAGTTACGGTATACTTAAAAATAGGTAGTCAGTGTTGTTTCCTATGTTGGCTATAAAAAACCAACACCAGGAATAGTAAGGAATATCCTTTTCTCTGAAACTATGGGGCAGCCAAAATTAAAAGGATGTCCTTTCAATTTTCTTTTCCTTAAATACGTATCAGTGTAGACTGAAACTGTATAAGCCTTGACTGTATCTTGTGATTAAGTTGCTTAGCCATTCTTTAGCTAGAGTTTGTGATTTCACATATATGTAAAATAGTCTTGCTTTAAAGAAGGCTTACCGTTTTTCTGGCTGTCTGAATTTTGATTAGCTGACTAGAAGCTAAACATTTTGCATTTTGGTAGCCTTTTTTCTTGCAATCTGTGCAGGGGTGTTCACTGCAAAAGAATAAAAACCCAAAAGAATCTGTACAATATGCACTGAAGAAATATGGTGGTATTTTATATGGAAGACACTTAACAATCAGAGTTCCCTTAGAGTAAAATGGGACCTGATGAGTGGTCCTGGTGTCAAAACTTACTGCATTCAGAATAGGTTCTAAATTTTTCTCTTTATGTTCCTAGATATTATTATATACAAGAGAAATACTTCCACTCCTCTCATTGTAATTGTGTGATTTTAATACAGCTTTGAGAAATGGGAAGAGGGATTATTTTAATCTTTTACAGATCCTTGTTTTCATCTGCGTACTAGTGAAACCTGTAGGGGCCAAAATTACTCAATTCAAAATGCAACACACAAAGATAAGCTCCTTGCTTATTTTTACTTTATTTCTGTACTGTACTAGAGAGGGATGCCGTTATTATTCAGGGCCCTTTATCATAGTAATCTCACTCAGTAGGTTTTTTGCATGATTATTCTTCTGTGTCTTCAGAGGTCATTAGATTTTCTGAGCATACGAGTCTTCTGCATATGTTTTATGCAGTTTCCAATGCAAGGTGGCGTAAGTGCGGTATAATTAGCTGCATAGTACCAACAGATCTGAATTCTAGTGATGAGTACAATCAGTTAATGAATCTAAAATGTAAAGTAGTACAGTTCAACTCTGTGGCACCCAATAACATTGCTCCTCACCTTGCAGTATATTCATAAGCAGATGAGTCCAATGCAGCAAAACAATAACTACATCTGTCAGTTTTTAAAAATAGACGAACAAAGGCATCCGTTTGCTGGTGGATTGAAAGATGAGTTCACAAAATAAGCAAATAAGTTGATAATTCTAGAAAAAGATTGCTTGTGAAAACAAAGCGCATATGTTCAGTATTGCTATGTTTGGAGATGCATAAATGGTGAAGCAAAGTGCGTGCAGTATGTGTCTGTGCAGGGGTGGGAGAAGATTTGTGTTTCTGTGGATCTTATTTTATGTTTATTTTTTGAGATAGTTATTTATTTCTATGTCCCATAGAAAGTGGGAGTCCTGAATCTCGAGTTAATGCTGTTCACTTCTTGGTCCATAAACTCCCAGAAAAGAACAAAGAGATGCTGGAAATTCTGGTGAAACATTTAGCAAAGTAAGTGTTACGACTTGCTTTCCTACCTTGTCAGAACTCCTGTCCTTACCTTTGCTTAACCACAAAGGGCCTTAGTTAAGTACAACTGGAGCTGAAGCCCATCTCAGTGCTTTCATACACAATACCAAGAACCAAACGTGCAAAAGCAGACAAGACGTTTGACTCATGCTGTGTGTGTTTTGGCGGGAAGGGCAGAAATCTAATCCGTTAATGAAGCCATATAAGTATTTACTTTAGCAGACCTGCCAGCAGTTGAGGGTTTGATTGAAGTGAGGAAGGGAACATTATACTTTCTTTCTGCAAATTCTGGCAATGTGAATAGTGGAGATCTGTTAGCAAATTTAAGTTGGTTTCACACTTGCCCTGGTCCAAGGCTAAGTGCATTTTATATATTTAAGTTCAGTAAGAGACTGGATTTGTTTTGAAATTGCCAGTGGAAGAATGGCTTTTTTGTTTTCCAGAATTCAGTAAGACTTTATTTGAAGAAACTTTGCACAAAATAAAACTTCTAAAACATAGATTAAGGAAATGTAATGTTTTCATTTGTAGACTGCAGTTTCCAACAGTAATGGAAATTTTTCATAACCTATTTCCTGTTTTTTCCTTCAATTCTTTTCAAAAAGTGTTTCAAAGCATGCCAAGAGGAATCTAATGACTGTGGCAAATCTAGGGGTAGTATTTGGACCAACCTTAATGAGGCCACAGGAGGAAACTGTAGCAGCCATCATGGACCTCAAGTTTCAGAACATCGTTGTCGAAATCCTGATAGAAAATCATGAGAAGGTAAGCTTTGATACATCTCTGCATTTCTGAGCGTTGTCTAAAACAATCTGTTTAATGGGTAGTGTGGAGTTAAGTATGATGTCACAAACACCTCAATTCTGTAGAATATCCTCTATACGCTGTACGCTTTTGGCTATCTATACTCGATAAGTATTCCTGTTCATAGGTAAACTGACATTTCAAAATGCGTTTTTCCTGGCAATAGCAGAGCTTCTGTGTGTATAGTACGCAAATAGATTTTCATTATGATATTTGCATATGTGTTTTTCTGAGCAGAAGTGATACAAGACGGGAAAAGAGAAAGCCCAGGCTCAGTTTTTAGCTCCTCAGTTAAGTACTTTGACCAGGCTCTGAATTAATAATTGTTCTGTGTCATTGTTCTGAGAGTTCACAGAGTAAAACGAAGACTTTACTATACTCTAAATTTTATGGGTAAAAAGCATTATGAGGGAGCCAGGTATTAACATTTCCTTTGTTTTCAGCTGAATGTGTGTTATTCTAAGCTTTTATATTTGAGGTAATACTGAAAATAGAAGTTGTTGCTGTGGCAGCTGCCAATTACTAAGGTGCTTTACACATACAAGGTACTGTCCAGAATATTACTGCATGTAATCTGGGTTCTGAAATTAAAAAAAAAAAAAAAAAAAAGTCCTTTACTGGTGTCTTTGGCCCTCCTATGGGAGCCTCTTGTGTCTAAGCTGACTTCTGGAACTGGATGTTTGAAGTACTGGGAGGATGGGCAGCATCTCCCTTGCTCTTATTGTCAAAAAAAAAAAAAAAAAAAAGTGCTTTGGAAAAATTCCAGGATGTGCTTTTTCCTCTCTTCCTTCTTAAGCACTTCATGCATTGAAATAGTTATTTCTTCTAAAGGTTAACAGTGTTGAAATTGGCTAAGTCAAGTCTTATCTACTCTAAATAATCTGTCTCAAGTTTTTCTGACAATGTAATTATGCCACCTCTCTGAATGATACAGGCTGGGCAAAGCTTCTGTTGGCATGGCTGTATCCACATGGTGGGTTTTGTTGGCTTGGTTGACTTAGGGTGTAATGCTGTCCTCATACATTCAACAGGTATGGCATAGTTTGTTGGAAAAATACTGTGCTGCAGATGTGGCTCAAGTTCTAAGTGTTAAATATTCCAAGAACTGTAAGCCATGCTACTCATTTTGGACCTTATAAATGAAAGTAAGCTCATGCTTTTGAAGCTATTGCAGTGACCACACAAATTTAAGAAAGTGGAGAGAGTGAGTGAGCAGAGCCAGGGTCTTTTAATAACATACAGAGGTTGATGTTATGTTTATTCAATTCACTAGATCACCATGGATTAGCACAATCTTATGCTAGTTCAGTCACATGTCTTTAAAAACTGGACATCAGTTTCATGTTTTGTAGTGGCCTTTCTTGTCCTTCTGAAAATGTAGAGAAGCAGGGAATGGAAAGTATATCAAAATGATACTGCATAATTTTCCATAATTCCTTGGTTTTATGCCTTCTTTAGAACTAGAAGGCTATAATTTCTTTTAAGGGATTTCTGTCATTTCACTGTCATTTCTAACAGTGAACTTGCCATCAGTGGTCTGCCTGCAGCAACCTCTCCCACGCTAGAGCTGCTTCCAAGATGGAATAGAAGCCCCAAGTGTGACCTCTGTGTATTTATAGCAAAGGCAACAGAGAGGTGTGTGTTAAGGCATTACAAAAATTTTACATTTGAATTGAATATGTTGCTTTTACAAGTGAGCCGTCTTCATTTAGGGCAGACCAGGGACCTATTTGTAATGGCAAGCAGGCTTATTGTCAATCTGATGTTCATTTTATATGGTGGTTTTGAATTTCTGTGCATTTCAGACTTCCTAACAGTCTTGTGTTAGGTATTTTTATTTATTGCCCTGGTGAAGTCCTAGTAAAAGTCACCAGATGTGGGTTTAAATGCTTTCAAATATTTCATTCAGCCGCTGCTCTGTCTGTGCTAATTTCTAGCAGCTTCTGCTAATAGAAGCGAAGTTTGGAACTGTAGAAGAGTGATGGGGTCAAGATGGAAGTACACCACTGACACAAACTAACTGAAGTGACACCACACTTCATGCATATGTAATTTATGGCTCTGGCAGACTGCAGAGAGGCATTTCTTTTCTTCTGTAGCAAATGAAATGACTAACAAACTTCCAAACTGTAAAAGCAATAGCCATTAACATTTCCATCTTAAATACAGTAACTTGGTAGACAAAATGGTAAAAAACTGCTATGAATCCTCATTTTCAAATTCCATCACCGTTCATTATGTCTTGCCTGGAGAGCTTTATTGAAGGAGGTCCACAACTCATTTTTTAAGAGGAGACATAATTAATTGGGTTATTAGCTTTGAAATCCTGATGCAGTCATTCCACTATTATCATTCTGATAGGTACTATTTAGAGAACTGCTACGCAATTTATGTCTGAAAACCTGGATATGGGGACTGAGACAAGAATATCATGCATAGTGCACAAGCTGGTGGGTTTTCTTAAAAAAAGATTTGTTGATATGTACATTTATTTCCTGCTAGCTAGAAACCAGTCAGTACTACTTTCACCTTGTTTATAGGCTGAATACATACTTCCAAACCATGGCTGTGAACTGATCATAGTAGGTTGAAGAGGGGATGTTTTGCAGTCAAACCAAGGTTGAGACTTGAATGCTGGAACTAGACTGTGAAGCCTGATGTGTCGCTTGACTGGTGTCAGAATTGCACAGTGATTAAGACTAGAAGAGGTGGATAGAAGAGCATTAGTGAGATAATTGTTTAGCTTTTGTTCTTGTCAGCTGTGGATAAGTCTCCAGTCAGAAGATAAGCTATAGAAGCAGATCTCTACTTTGAAAGAAAAAACAAAAACTAGACCCAAGCTGAGACAATGTGTTTTACCCAGGACCTTCAGAACCACCTGCTGTGGAAGGGAGGCCAGTCCAGAGGAAAATGAGACCTGTGAATTTTCTTGCTTGCTTCTGTCATATGGCTGTAGGGGAAAGCCGGCCAGATATTCTGGTCAAAGTAAGAGGATGTTCAGGTTTGATATTAAATGATCTCTCTATAGTTTTGCTTGGAATTGCCATGTTTTTTGCTGACTGTGCTGTGTGAACCAGCATTCTTGCTTCCTTTTGCTTTGCAGGTCTTTAAGGTTGGTATAATTTCATACTTGGCTCTCTTGTCCCATTTTCCCTTCCTGTACCTGCCTGGTCTCCCTTGATTTCCATGTCCTGTATCCTTCCTTTCACTAAAAAGCATCAAGAAATTGATGCTTGTGTCTTGTCATTGTGTTCGTTTTGCTTTGAAGCTATGCCTTTCCTTCGTGTTCCTTTTCTTGAGGTAATGAACTCGGGGGCTGACTGCAGCTGTGCTTGTACAATGCCTGGAACAATCTCTGCTTGGCCTTTAAGTAATCCTCTGATGAAAAGTGGTAGTCAACTAGGACCCAGAAAAAAGGTTTTGATTTCTCTTCTCCTCCTCCCCAAATGAGTTTCAAAGGTATAAATTAATTTTTCTTCCCAAGAGTTTCACAGACTGGTAATCTTGGACATGTCAGTTTTTCTGGTTTGTCTTTCTGACTTGCGGTGAAGAAGGGCGGTCCACTCCATGGCAGCATGAAGAACATGCACATGTTCATCTTGCTGTTTGGTACAATGTTTTGGCATCTCCTTGGAATGAATGTCGCTATTCAAAGGGTTTATTTATTTGCCATTTAAAGATGCCTCAGTGGTAATGTGAGCGATTTTGGTTTCTCAATTCCCTGAACATTATTTTAAGAGGGGGGGGAAAAAAAAAAGGATAAAAAAAGAAGTCTAAGAAATTAAAGAAGATGAGGGAGGAGGCTGGAATAAAAATCTCAGTGGGACTGGAATATTTAAACCAGCATATGGGGGAGGAAAGAATAGTGAGTACAAATAGCAAGATTGCAAAAACAGAAAGAAGATTAAACTTATAGTGACAGAAAATGAGAAGAAAAAAAAGAGAGGGGCTAGACAGAAGTCCCTTATGGAGACTGGAAAGCCAGTCTGCTGAAAGGGAATAGGCATGGTAAAAGATACCTTTTTCTAGAATTCAGACAACCTATGGGCAAAATTATCTCAAAGATGTTAATTCTGAAAAACTCAACAGTTCCTATATATAAGGAAGATACTGTTTTAATTTGTTTTCTGTATAAATCTTTTTATAAAGGGCAAAGATTTTAATTCAGACAAAATATGTCTTTGTTTTAGCTTTGTTTCGTTCAAAAGTGTTTTATGGAGAAAACTTTTTTTTTTATGAAATACAAATGTTTTAATTTTTCTTTAGGCACTTTTATGATTTTTTTTTTTTTTTTTAACTAAAGGGAAGAGTTCAGTGCTACTAACCTCTTAAGCCAATATCAACTTCATGTAGTAATGCTTGGACAATCTTTAGCTTTAAAACATATTACAGTGCATAATACATGTGATGTTTGTGAGACAGAAGAAATGGCAGCAGGTGAAGTCAGTTATTTATCTGAGAGTATGAAATGGCACAGTCAGGTCTGGCCCATGTCTCCACTTAGCAATGACAGCATGTTTAAAGCAGTTCTGTTGCAGATAAATGCTTTAGGGTACAGCGGCACTACCATCATCTAAACTAAGGCTATTTTTTGACAACAGCAGGTCTTTTGAAGTCCTCGTAAAGGAACATATGAGAAATACTAATGAGGGCTTGTTTCAGCTTTTGCGTCGCTTTGCCTTTGGCTGCAGAGGAGGACCAAGAAGCAATGCATTGCAATTGTGGTGGTCTGCTGTGTGTAGCAATTTGAAACCTCCCCAGGCTGAATGTTTCTCCTGCCAAAAAGTGTTCGACTTGGAGGGGGGGGGAAAAATTACATCAAGGTATCTGCATTGGGGCAGAGTTTGTGAAGAAACACATGAGCTTGCAGTTCAGGAAGGTGTACATACAGCATGTGCTTAACTTTAAGCATGTAACTAATCACATGTGTCACTGAAACTATTCCTGAGCTTAATTTACTT